TTTCAGGTTGTTGGGTTTAGGGTTTAGGGGTGTTGGGTTTAGGGTTTTGGGTTTTGGGTTCTCGGTTCAGGGTTTAGGGTTTTGGATTTAGGGTTTAGGGTTTGGGTAGCTGTTTGAGACTGACAGTATAGCCTCTCTTGGAAAGTAGCCTCCATTAGTACTTATTGGAAAGTTCCTAACGATACATGAAGATGCGGAATTTTCTGGTGCGATATTGTGCGGGTCCCAATCTCTGCATTCCTAAAACTTGGAGCACATAGCTGTAATGCCGGGGAGCGAAGTGGCTACTCATGACAAAACGGAAATGAAATCGGAGAATCTAATCATGTTATCCAAAAGGTATGATTCTTCCAACGGCCTGGCACCTTGCTATGTTACAAAATTCACACTGAAAAAAGCATTAACAGTTTTTGCTCGCAACGCATAACCCCAGTTTCGCAACTCCCTAATGCCTCGGCCCTACACCAAATCATGCAACCATAGTGCCGACAACGCAACACTCAGACTCAGACTCTCGGACCCCAAGCTCTCAATCCTGCACTGTAAAGTTCAGTCTTTTGGGCCGAACTTCGCGCCTGCAGCCGGGCGAGTTCGCCTGCACTACGTACGGTCAGTTGGGGTTTCTCAAAATAATGGTACTCTAGGGACATCTCCGCATGCCAGAATTTAGGCCTTTCGGTCATTTGGAAGGAATATGGGGAAAAAAGCCTTCAGTTGAGTTTTGAGTTTGAGTTGGATGGAGAGAGACAGAGAGAGAAAGAGAGATAGAGGCAGCAGGAGAGGGAGGGGCAGAGGGAGCCCGGGAGCATGAACATGGGCCTCGGTCTTCGCCAGCGCCTTCCTTGAAGATCTCTGGGCCTCCAAGAAGTGCCTTGTGCCTGGCATAACGGCGTTAAAGTCTGGAATGCTATCCTGCAATGCTCGAATGCCAGCGGCTCATGGAATGCATGCCAGGCTGTCATCTTGAAAAGAGGCTCTAGCTCCAGTTGTGGAGTCTGGGCACGTGCATTGGAGCCTTCCCTTTGAAAGACGCTGCGGACGCGCTCTTCAGTGCCGTACGCAGACTTTCTTAAGCGTACAGAGCAAGTATGCCAGCACGGAGAGCACTTCGAAAATTGAACCAGAGCACTGCCACCTTGCGTGATCAAGCTTTCTGTTTTCCTGCTAGTACTACGAGCACTGCGCGCTCAAGTTGAGTTACGTCGTGACTACTGCCTCAAGTACTGTCGTCCTGGAGCAGGCGCAACGCTTTTACAGCGTCCGGAGCCCTCTTTCGCGGTCTTTGCGAAGTCTCTCAATGTCAAAGGGATGAGGCCCACCGTGTCCCCGCTAAAGCTCCCAACCATCATGAAAAGAGCCAGGATAGTACTTACGGCATGTTACACCCACCAGCAGGCCAATCATCATTAACTATCACATAACCAAGTGGGCCCATTGCATAGTCATAGTCGCGGTTTTGTTCAATTGGGCAGTAATGGAGGTAGCTGTGGGGTGGGCTGGCCCCCAACTATTGCGGATGGCTCCAAGGACAGCTGGGGCAGGAAGAGATGGGTATCAACTCAGTTCCTCTGACTTTCAGCGCCCTCTCTCTTGATAGAGGAGGAGCAGTGTTCAAGGCGGCCAATTTGGGTACCCAAGATTGTTGTAATACGCTGAGGCGTGCTAGGGCTAGCGGAAATCAATCCCAATGATGGGTCCTTGTTCCACCTGTAAGAATCCCTCTTCAACCCGTCCATTGCTTTGCCTTGGACTCTGCAAAAATTCGACTCTCACACAATCAATGGGAGTGTCCAAAACCTGCCCGCTGCACCTTCCCGCTCACACCAATTGGGCACTGCTTGGGCATCTTTGGCATGCTTTTTGATACTCTATACTCGAATCGTTGGGTGCTCCTATATGGGAATGATACCACCATGATTCCTACATGCATCTACGTTTGCGCAAAAAATTCTAGGAGCTGTTAGGGTGGGGAAGGCGTGTGCTGACCGAGCAGAGGCCAACATACGTGCAGAAACAGTTCGCAAGCCAAAGGCAAAATTGGCCTGCCGAGGACTTTGCATTCGAAAAGCAGCGAACCTAAACCGAAACCTGGAAAGCCTCGCTACCTGAAAGAATCGTGCGTCTTCTATGATTTCAAGAAGTCTCTTGTGGTCGAAACTCGTGGGACTAGAAGAGAACGAATGGCCAGCTTTCCAGGCATACAGAGTCCTTCTGCAGTAGATAAACTTTCTAGACTGAGAGAGAATTCACCCACTACATACCCATCATCCGTCACCTTTCAAAGGACCATAGGACCCAAGAGTCTGGAATGAGCTTAAACATCGAGGAAAAAAGCTGAGATTCAAGACTTCCATTTCGCCAGGCCTGGGCGCATATGAATGATGAAAAGATTGTGGTTTCAGGTTGGGGTTGAAGGTTCAGGGTGTTGAGTTTAAGGCTTGGTGTGTAGCGCACAGGACAAAGCGCAGGGCTTCGTGGGGTGGATGATGACTATAGTGCAACAGTATGAGGAATATGGAGGAATTCAAATTGCTACAGTGATGAAGTAGGGCTAGGCTTCCAAGCTGCTCCAGCACTAAGCTGCGTTTTGCTTCGACCCTTCATGAACAATCTGGGCGACAGCATGTGCAGCGTTTCAATATGAGACATAGTTAAAGCTCCTAGTACCCCCATGAATAACCCCCAATAACCCCCTATATAATCCTCATTAGGGATTTTGGATTATGGCTCATACATCCAACAGCCCCGCTCTGCCGTCCGCACCAGTGCCGGAGGCTAGCACGAAGCTCAGTGCAAAGCACTGCAACGTGACTTCTTCTCTTTTGGATCTCTGAAAATTTCAGAAATACTGCAATTCCCTAGCGGTGCTGCTTTGTGCCCTGGTTTGTTGATTTGTCACGGTTTGTCCTCAAAGGCTGATATCTCGTGCCGCATGCTTCCCGTGGCTCTGCCTGTTCTTGACCGTGTCAGAACTATTGCCAATCATCAAGGTCGCTGCTCTGCCTACTCCGTCTCTACCAGTCCTAACAGTTCTAACGCAATCCCACACTTTCCCCCTACAAACCCTCGGGCTCCAAGCACTCAGAAATATCCACAGAGCGGAACTCCGCCTTGCCAAGGTCCAACTTCACCTGAGTTTAATTGGTGAACACAGCAAGACCGTTACGGGGGCTCTCGGTCTCTCGGTTAGGTTCCGTAGTTGCGCCAACATGACAGAAGTCCTAAGTCATTCGCGAATTGCGGCTCCAGTCTGGGGCTTTGGGAGGGTCTGAGGCCCAGCCTCATTTCCGAAGCGAAAGCGGACCTGGTCTCCCACGGCAAGGTCCTGCAAGAAAGGGGGTAGTGTTTCGTGGCAAGAGGGGCTCAGGAGGAGAAGATCGTAGTACAGAACAGATCATGGAAAGCTCAAAGTTCATAGCTCAAAAGGGTGCAGACAACAAAAAATGATCGAACAAGATCCCCAAGTCTCAAACTTCTCAACCTAGATCCTACACCCCCGAAAACCCACAGTTTGCAACAGACCCCTAAAGCCAAGGATAGTCCGAGGGGATGGGCTTGCCGGTGCGGTCTAAGGCATCGTCACCAACCGCAACCACCTCGCAGGACTTCGCCCAATACGTGGGGCGCAGGGGAACTCGGGTTGGGGTGGGAAGGTATTCATGTCCGCGTTGGGAAGTACATACACAAAATGCACCTACCTGTCTGCTCTTGGCACATTGTAGTGGCCATGTTTGGAGCAATGCCGAACGAGTTTTCGGATCGAGTGCCAATGCTTGCGTCTCGCACACCGTCCAACAATGCTTTAACTTTGCGGTTACTGTGCAGTTGGCACATTGCGCCACCCATGTTTCCAGCATATCCAGGCGAGTGGCCGACAACATCCATCTTCAAAAAACTGTACACTCAGAGGTCTTTCTTTACCAAGCAATATTCTGTGTGTAGTTCCCTGTTCGAGTTGTGTGCTAATTTCAAAAGTGGATTTCTAGAAGTCCAATGAGGAAAATTCAGAGTTATCGTTTTCATAAATGCCGGCCGATAATAGCATCCTTGTGATGGAACCTGGTGTCTGAAGCTTTCCATCCGACCAGAACTAGGACAATCCAACCGAGTTAAAGCTCATACATACATTTACCTTGATCGCCAAAACCTGACCTCAATATCCAAAGTGCGGTGTGGCCTCACCGATGGTTGTATCCGGCTTCGCAGCGCCCTGCGGCAGGTGGATGGTGATAACTAGAACCATTCTGACCAGCAGAACAGCATGGAGGTCTTTGAAATTTCCTTGCCAGTGTTGCTACTTCCGCACAAATAGGTGCGGCATCGTTTTTGCTATTCCCATCGTTTTCCCTATGTCTGCAGATCCCACCATGAGAAACGAGTCTTGCCAACTGCATGCTGCTAAAACGTAAGAACAACTGCCATTCATGCAGTTGCCACTACGTTTGTCTTGAGTGTTCACAGCTGTCATTTACAAAGCTTCTTGGCTTTTGTATAACCGCAGCAAGTTCCCTAAGCCCTGGGCGGCCTATTGAAGCAGGGAACTCCGCCCTTCCTTCTTCTGAGAAACTTTCGGTAGCACAATACAAGTTTGGCCCACGTAGGCAAATTCATGCCCCTCCCCCAAACTCCATAAAGGACGCCTCCAACCAGAACTTAAACCTGCCGACATTTCAGGAACTCCAGGCGGTGCGAGCTTGGGCTTCAGGAACATGCATACATGGGCTCGGATTCTAATGGGAGTCCAAGGTATTGAAACGTGTACTCCTCTAATCTAGAAGGCTTCCCCTCAGAAAAGCCTGAAACATCATTCCACAATCCCTTCAAGCTGCATAGAATCCCCATGTAGACGCAAGCCACAACCCTCACATCCCTAATCCTCGAATATCCGTCATCTCTGATACCTCTCCCTCACTTCTTCTTCAGACTATAGCATCCCTCAGCCCTAAGCCCCCTAGTCCTAAACCCTAAACTCTAAACCTCAAAAACTAAGCCCCAAGCCCTAACCCCTGAACCCTAAATGGTAGTTTCCATTTTCTCTTCCATTATCCTTATATACTCCGTAAACCCCAACCCTGATCCTTAATCCCTTAACCCTAACTTAGCCACATCCCCGGCCTTTGAAAGGAGGATGCCTCCCTGGGACTCGGCTTTCTCCTCCAGCAGCTTCAGAAGCACCTGAAAGCTTTCGAAATTCATGGTTTCATTGCTGGAGATTACAGTTCTGGGTTTAGGGCTTAGGGCTTCGAGCTTCAGGTTTTGGGATCCGCTCCTCAGAGGCATTTCTGCCTGCGTAGGGATCTGAAACAAGAACCTTTGCGTCACTCAAAGGCCCCACGGATTGAATCCTTGGGAAAACCCTAAGCCCTAAACCGGGATGAAGCTCTTCACCTGATGAAAAACTCGGCGATTCCTCTATGGCTTGTCTCACACATGCTTAGGCGGAAGTAACAGGAAATTGCATTGTGAGACCGAGCCTGTATAAAAAAAACAGATAGGAGCCACGAACCCCAATGCAGACACGCGTCACGTACATGCAATGATAACAACACCCCACAAGCGAAGCCACTTAGGAGACGTAGGTCCGGGTCATCCTTTTCTCCTCTTTCTCCTCCTCTCTCGTCTCCTCTCTCTTTCTCTTCCTCTCT